TGGAGGTAAAATAAACCATGTTTCATGAATGTCTTCAGCTCAGCTGGGTGAGACACTCGTGCACCAGGATGATATGTTAAGAGTGGAAAGCCAACACTAGTCCACCACATCCTGCCCGTGATATGTTCTTGGAAGGACATAGTGGTGGGGTGGAGGCGGGGTAATTAAAAGTATTTACTGTCAGATCCAATCAAGTGCAGCGGACTGGTTACTTAAGATCACGTTAATCCATATCCAGGGTTTTCTTCATGTTTGAGCTCCAGTGTGGCTCAGTCTTTAAATTAGATTCATTTGAGCTCTGCTAATAACTGTCTGCAGGCTTGTGCAAATAAATAGAGCAATGCAGAGCACGGTCTAACGCCACGTAACTTCCAGTTTATTACACACTTATAAAACAGTATCACATGACAGGTCTCGTTAGTCTGCTTGGTGTTAAGATTACATTTCCACACATTTTTTTGGTGAACGGTGTTTCCATCAGGTCCACCAAACAAAGTGAACTTTTTCTTTTTGTTAAAGAAAATCACAAACAGCCTCGGTTAAAACATTCCTCAACTTTCCAGTTCATATCTCCTCCTTCAAGTATATAAACAGATCAGGAGCAGCAGCCCAGTAAATATCATCAAACTCCAAGCTGTAAATGACAGCAAACAAATGTGCATCCTCTAAATAGGTGACCCAGTTCTTTGGTCACAACATCATCACTCCTCTAACGTACTCGAGTTCTTATTCGAGGGAAAAACCAAGCGGTGGAGCTTCGGAGCCGATCACGCCTGCAGCACGCCTCTGGGCTGACTTGGTCCAAAATATTCTCCTTAACGCTCGAGTCTCAGTGAGGAAGAGGGTGCAAAGAGGATGCTATCATTCTGCTGTGGCTGCGTCACCCAAGACTGAGCAGCCAACATCTCAGGGAGCGACAGCACTCCTGTCTTCTGTCCTCTTCCCTCCCTCTTTTTGGAGAAGCCAAACAAAATGCATGCTAACTCATCTGCAATTAACCCTTTTCCCTCTGTGCTGAATAGGAGTATCTACAAAGCAGTGTAAGGAAATTGTGGCAGGACATTACTGCACTCTTGAAACAAATGAAGTTCAAATGCAGTCTTCTCCCATGATCTTGGTGTAATTAGTTTTTTGACAATGCCATAAATTTTAGCATTTCGTCTTCTGCCATCATTCTGTGTGACATAAGAAAGCAGACAAGCTCTTGTAGATGCTCCTGCAGAGGTTACAGACGTCAGTCTGTACTCGCTCACCCCAGCCCCACAGGGAAGCTATCAATTTAAAGAGAAACTGTTCATTCAGCATAGACAATCTTTGCATCGCTGATGCACATTACGCCAAGAGGAGAAAGAAGCCGCATGGGACAAATGAAGTCAGCAGGTGTAATGCTGCGTTTGTGGTAAAGGAAATACTATGTAAGCTTTTCTTTGACACATAGTTTAAAAAAAATATTAATTCTAGCTGTGATTACCAACTCCAGGAGGGGTAAGTGCTTTGTAAAGACATATTTAAAAGAGAGAAAAAGTTCAGGTCTAGTTCTATGCTTAAATCAATATAGTTCATAAGACACAGCTGGAAGACTGGACAATTTTTAAAAGGCTGAAGCCCTCTATTAACCTCAAGTAAAGAGAAAACCAGCGACACCATTGTAAGATATTTTCCTCTTTTTTTTATAAAAAAACATGTTGTTGATAACATATTAGTCTATATTCTAGTGCAAGTCCGGCTAGCAAAATCCAATGTTTCCTGACAGTTTTTTATTTTGAAGTATTGCAGTACGTGTTGATAGCAGCTGCTCAGAAACAAGACAGAAAAGATTTTTGGAGCAGAAGAAGGAAAAGACACTGACCTTGTTGCCTGTCCCTGCACAGCAGATGCCCAGAGCCATGGCAGCCCCACAGCGTACATGAGGGTTGTAACTTTCTGACAAGAGAGAAACCACACTGGGACACTGCTCTGGGGTCCTGGAGACACAAAGGGGTAGAAAGAAGAGGCACTTGAAGTTAATCACAGACAAATGTCATTAATCAGTTAAGATTGCTGCTGGACTAATCACAGCTTTCTGGATGCTGTGATTTATCAAAGAAAAATTAAACAATCAAAAACTCTCACAAACTTCCCCAAATCTTTACATTTGGTGTGCGCACACACACACACACACACACACACACACACACACACACACACACACAATATCTTAGTGAGGACATCCTAACCAAATGGTTTGGGTAAATTGTACAATATTAATCACATGGTAAAAACATTACAAATTCCTACAAATGTGAAGGAATGTGCTAAATAAACACATATTTACCAGCACCGCTTTAGTCATATAGGCACAACCTGCAAGATCATATCAAAATTTAGCTCAGCGGGTGACAGTCGTTATTGTTTTCTGAGTAAAAATTCTCTTAGTTAAAAAAAAAACAAAACTAAACAAAAATCACTTTGAAGCAAATTATGCACGGGCACACGCAAACGCACAAAAGAGGAGGGAAAAAACAAAAACATGATGTTGAACATTATCTGATAATTCCCTTGTGATAACAACGGCTCTGCCCGGGCTTGAATTGGTAGGCTGATTGGTGAGATCACGCAGAGTTTTGCATGAAGAGTTGGTCTGCTTTAAACTGCAAACAGATGCCAATCAGTGACTCAAGGATCACAGAGAACAGCCACGTTTAACTAACTGACCCAGCAATGCTATAGTGGAAATAAAGAGGCTGTCCCTGTTTCTCACATAACACTAAAAGCTCAATGATCCACAGAACAAATAGAAAAGCAGGAGAATGAAACAGTGGTGCTTATTGGATTCTAGTTCGTTAAAAAAAAAAAAAAAAGGCTTTAAACTGTGTTTGTGTATATGCCGAATTATTCTACAAATGTGTTCACAAATTATATGAAAATTATGGTATAAGTTCAGTAAAAACAGTCTTGGAAGCTTTAAAGCTTCACAAAGATGACTTACTTCACTACTGACTGGATGAACTACACTGGGTCCAATAACTGAAGCTATAATCACCTCGTTATGAGCCTTACAACTATAAAGCATAGAAAGAAATGTTTGAATCAGTCTTTTTACTCATCATTAAAAACAGTCGCGTTAATGGACAGAATATATAACCTATTCAACAGAAGTAGAAAACACTATAGACTGGAAAAACTCCATCTTGGAATTAATAAGTTGCCCCTTCAGAAAAATATGTCATAATAAGATTAACACACACACACACAAAAAGCCACAAACTCTTAAACTGTCCATCAATATGGAGGCATGTCCGCAGTGAGTAATCTGCACTGGTCTGTCTGGAATTAAAAGCTCAGCTCGACCATTATATTAGGATTTAGCGAGATCACAAGTGGCAATCACTGAGAGATTTGGATCAGATTTCAGTGTCACCTCCAGAGGGTTTTTTTCTATTCCTGTAGACCGACGGACAGTGTCCTTCAATCTACATTTGGGTGAGAGCCAAACTGTAAAGGGCTCACACAGAATAAGCATTTAGGTTAAATAAAAATATTTATGATGCTTTTTTGAAACTGACTGCACAATAGCTTGAAGCACACCTTGAGAAAACTTTGGCGATTGGTTATCTGAATAGCTCAATCTGAAGCCTTTTCAGCTTTTTTCAGTAAAAGATTACCTTTAACCACCATCAAAATAGAAGAAGTGAGATGGAGAGAAGAAATCAATATTCAGCATTTGTTTCACATGAAAGCCTGTGAAGCTGTGACGTCTGGAATTCGACTTCAAGTTCAATATCCTGGTAATGCGTGATGGACTTAAAAACTTCAGAATTAACTCAAAGGAAAGAGACGAGGAAAAAAAAAAAACCGAGCACCAAGTTTATGACTCCACTCAAAGTCAAAGTTGCAGGTGTAGAGCAAAGAAAAAAAATCTTAAAACATGTAATTTTTCTGCATGAAATGTGATCTGCAGTCATTGATGTGGTCTTGCTGTATGACTGCAGATCACATTCGGTTGCTTCCTGTCTGTTACAGGAAGCAGCTGTAAAATACATCATGAAAAACACCTGGACAATGTTAATTTTAGACAAGAGGTCATGTGGCTTTTATAGTTTACGCTAAAAGGTAATCAAAATTCATCCAAAGAGTAAACAAAACAAACACGTGTGAGTATACTGCTATAATAATAAGTGATAAGCAGCTGCCAAAGGGCAGACTGTTAACTTGTTAAACTGCTTAAACTGGGAGAAAAAAAAAAAAGTGTCACGTCTAATGGTACATAATGTTTTTATTTCCTTTAATGTTGCAGCAGTTTAAAAGTTGGCAAACATGCAGATCCCAAGAAATAAGATTAGTTATCATACTGAAAACATGTTCGGGTAAAAGCAGCTGTTGGAGAGATAGATGCTGCCTCTAATCACAGTGCTACACCTGATGTGATGATTTAAGCATTTAAAAAATTTCAACTTCTGGGACTGAAGAGATTAAACTTCATTAAAGGATAAGCAAAGTAAAAGAGAGCAGATTATCTTATGCATGTACTGCCACCTTGACAGAAACAAGGGGCATGTATCATCTAAAATATCCAAGGGTACACTCTGAACTTCTCACTTAAAAAATAAATAAATAAATAAATCTGCTTTTAAAAGCAAAAAAATCAAAGCAACATCATGATCTATAGAGAAAACAAAAATATACATAAATAGGGGATAATTTCTTAAAATCTATATCATCTATTAAAAAAAGGTTTCCTGAGATTTTCTCAATGTGAGCTCACTGAGGACAAAAGGCTTTAACAGCTATGTAGTATAAGTACATTTTCAAGCATGTACCTCTACACAAAAGGTTCCCCCCATACAGTGCTCCTACCTCCCCTCTTCTTCGAGCAGAGGAGTGAACAGAAAGTGACAAATATAAACAGTAGGACGGCGGTGTTGAAGGAAATTACCTCCCAGAACAACTGGCATGTTGCCATCATGAAGACATTCATCTGTTTTGTATAGAGTCTGAGTCACTTGCAAGCAGAAGGGGGAGGGAGGGGACGAGAGAGAGCGAGCGTGAGCTGATCGCAGGCTGCAGACGAGAGGCAACGAGTGAGAACGGGAGAGCACCAGAGGAGCAACAACATCTGAAAGTTTTAAACCTGTGATCGCGGTAGGTGACGCGCAGCGAGACTGGAAGTTCCTCCAACATGTGGAAGCGAATAAATTCCACATCACGGACCGCTTCAGACTAAGACAGATTTAGGATTCGCTGCTGAGGGAGGGCGTTCTCTGTCACATTCTTCTATGGGAAGGGAAGAAATTTAAAGATGAGATAGGAGACATTAAAAGAGACCAAGCTGTCCCACCTTACAAGGTGTGCAAAGAGTGAAATGCACGGGGTGTCAAGCGGCTCTCTTTTCCCAGCTCAGAATACTGTTTTAGTGTTCAACAGCGTTAAGACGTAAAGGTTTGGGAAAAGACTTAAAGAGCTGAAAACACAAAAGGAGAAGGACAGCTAACATTACCTTGGGAAACAGGTAAGAAACTTTTGCAAAACTATCACAATACTAGTTTATTTTTTTTATTTGAAAATGGGTTTCGACATCATTTAAACCACTGCTTTGGAAGGTATATAAATTCAAAATCCTACACATTCATCTACTAATTTTAATCAACAAATATCAGCTGAAACACTGTGTATAAAAACAACTTGCATCTTTTATTAACCTTTAACTGTATAACAGAAGAAATCTGAAAAGCTTTTAAGCCATCACTCTGTTTTCCCAGCTTGGCATTCACATAACTCATGATCTGACTGTCTTTGCTCTATTTATTACTTACCATTGCTGCATTTTGTCATTATTCGGGTAAAGAAAATGACTAATCACTACCCCTTTAACAGACCTATTTCTTCTTTGAAGTGGATGTCAAGAGTGTCAGCTGCCTGGGAAAGTGAGGACCCCTGCTCACTTGCGGAACATCGCACTGTGGAGCTACTAATCGTGTTGGGATTATTGCCAGCTTTGGATTTTATAAGAACAAAGATCATCTTCGTTTGGCTTTTACGGGATGCAGGATCTTGTGTGCCGCCCCTGAACTGTCTCACCCTACCCTGTGCCCTTGCCTGTGGGACCCAGTGACCATGCTGACCGAGTCTCCCAGACCAGAAAGATTAGAGCCCCGACCTACACTCAAGCCCGCTGTATGCTCAGCAGCACCCTGTCTCAGCCAGCCATGGCACAGCTCGAGGCTAACAGCTCACACGCAGGCAAAGTGTCTGAGCTTCAGCTGAAATGGGCTGCCTTGCTCATTGTCATGGTCATCATCCCCACGATCGGAGGAAACATCCTGGTCATTCTCGCTGTGTCGCTGGAGAAAAAGCTGCAGAATGCTACCAACTACTTTCTAATGTCACTTGCTGTAGCCGATCTGCTGGTGGGACTCCTAGTGATGCCCATTGCATTGGTCACTGTTCTCTACAGTAAGTTTAGCACGGAGCTTTGGCTTTGACAGCTTCATTGCACATATACTGCATATGCTTTTTTACATTATATGGGTAGTATTAAAGCTGCACAGGTAAAAATCCTAGAAACCCAAGCATAACATTTCTTATTTTTTCCCTTTTAAAAGGTCGTTTACATTTATTTAAAAAAAAAAAAAAAAAAAAAAAAAAAAAAAAAAAATCACAATATTTTTTATTATGCTTACAAAATAAACAGTATTTAAACTCCAGACGCTCCCCCAGCAAACAACTGCCAACATTACCTCACCCATGTCTAAGGTGTGACTCTGAACAAAGCACCATTGGAATGATTATATTTCTTTCTTTAATATAGTAAATGGCCTGTATTTGTATAGCGCTTTACACATCCAGTCACCCATTCACACACACAGACACTGGCGCCACCGGGCCCTCTGACCACCACCAGTAGGCAACGGGTGAAGTGTCTTGCCCAAGGACACAACGACCGAGACTGTCCAAGCCGGGGCTCGAACCGATTACAAGGCGAACGCCCAACTCTTGAGCCACGATCGCCCCGACAGATCATAATATCCAGAAGAACACTGAAAATTGATGTCCAAACCACCAACAAATTTTGAAAACAATTTTTTAAAGTGAGTTCAAGCGTGACCGAAGTGATTTAATGAAGAATGTCCCCTAATTCACAGCAAACTTGTATTAAACCTTCATTAGGCGTTAATATCTGCATAACGACCAGAAGACTTGGGGATAACAGAAGAGGAGAAAAACAATTTGAGAGGCAGTATTAGATCCAATCAAGACTATCTCTAAACAAATTATTCTAGATGAAATAGAACAAGAGATAGTGGACGGTGAACAGTCTACTTTCTCTGGCAAAGGTTTGGTGCCAGGTCCACAGCTTGGACTGAACGACTTGCCTCTGGGACTATTACCAATGGAAAGCCATTTTTCCATTAATTCCATTAATAGTGTTGTGCAAATACAGCTGCACAGGAACTGATTTAGACTTGTATCCTCTTTTTTTCCTCTTCATACCACAACAAAATACAGAGCTATGGCAAAGCTACGCATTATTCTCCATTAGTTCAATTGAAAGATAATGAGCTGGATTATAATTATGCCTAACACACAAGAGCGCAGATGTGGATGTGTCACACTGAAAGCTGCACAAGTAAGATTGCTCAGAGATGCTGCTCAAGCGCTTACCTTAATGCAGAATCTAATTAAAGAAGGGCTTTACAATTAATCTGCCATTGCATCTATTTCTGTAACAAATCTGTGTCTGGAAACATGCTATTTAAATTCTGACTGGATCGCTGGATTGAAAAGGATACCAGCTATAAGGGTTTTACATCACTCTCCACATTAGAAACATATAAAGCCTGTTCATCAGTCTACCAGGAAGCTTAATCCCCTTTCACATTGCTATAATTGAGCACACTGAGCCCAAAATTCACCCAGTAAACCCTCCAAAGAAGTTTTAGTCACAGCCAAAGGAGAAATCATCAGTAAAATTAGTATTTTAAACCACACTTATTTTGGGTTCATCATCAAGCATAATAAACAGTTTAATTTATCAAACAGCCACATATAACAACAAAACTCACAGATTTCTGTTCAACAAGCCTGTGCAGATTTTGTCCTTTCATATCATTCATTTTTGTATGCGCGCTTCAGTAGACACCGAAAGGCCCATTCTGATCCATGAAAAACCTGGGTATTGAGCTAAAAGCAGCTGGCTTTGAAACATAAAAGAAACTGAAAGGGTATTGATTTCTTTTTTCTTCGTTCAAACCATCACTTCAATACGGCAACCTCTAAAGCAATTTATCTAGGCCGAAAATATTTAGTCCTAAGAACTAGTCCAGTCACGTAACTGAGAGAAAACACCAACTGTGATTAAAATGTATTTCTTTAATTTTTCCAGCAGTATTTCTATCTGCTAAAAGGTTACAAAGGTCTACAAAAACAAAAAACAGACTCCTAAAATATTCTCTGCTTTTGTGAAATATATTTTAAGACCCAGGCAGCTGTCATCCTCTCCTATTTAGAGAGAGATGAAGCGCTGAGGTGAACTGGAAGAGGTCATGAGGACACAGACAGAAACAGCGTGTTAGTGTGAAGGATAGCTAACGACGGTGCGGACAGTCATGCTGTGCCAACAACCTTTAGCGAAATAAACAAAGTCACATAGACAAGGTTATAGTACATTGGTACACTAATACCACAAATGTCAACACAACTAAACTAAATATTTCAGTGAAATCAGTGATACAACTGTAAGGTGGGGTCGATGAGCTGTGCTGGGCTTGAAATAATCAGAAACAATAAAAACACATGTAAGCTGACAGACTAATAAAGCTGTGCGTGTGTTGTGTAAATTAAGACTGTTATCATTGTTAATTAAGGCTAGAGATGTGCTGGTCCGGTGTCCAGAGGTGTTTGCTTTGTAGCCGTGTGCAAATGATGAAGGTGGTTGAAGTCCAATTTATCTTTTTAACCTTTATCCCCCTTCTTATAATCTAATAACAGGTGAGGAAGGTGCAGAGAGGCTAACAGCTAGTCCTTTGAAGTTCGTTAGTTAGTTACATTTCTTTTTCTTTTCAGCTCTATACAATGTCACTATAATTATTAGGCCTTTACCTTTAGCGATCCAATCACATATAAAACAAAATTGATTTCTCTATTAACCAAAGTGTCTCCAGTTGAACAGCTATAACCTCCTTTTATCTTTGATCATCCGTTCAGACTTGCTCGTGGAGTAAAGTAGTAGGGCAGGTAGAGCTGGCTGCAGCTGGCAGAGAAACCCACTTTACTTTGAATTAAAATATATAGGTTTCAAAGAAAAGATGATGCAACACACCCAATCCAGAAAATGTTTCTAGTATTCAGCCACTCTTCCACATCTGCTGAGCAGAAGTATACAGACACCTGGAAAATGTAAGAGGTCCTCTTGTTTAAAATATGAGCTATGTGAACAGAAACTCTTGTAAACTTAAAATAAACCAACTTGTAGCCAAAAAAGAAAAAAGAAAAGCCTAAGTGAGAAGCCAGCTCTCTACTAACCAATAATGTGGTAATTTAATACATTAGATTTTCTGAACTCCTCTATTCTATTTTTTTTTTTATTTAAAGAGATGTGGATATTGTAGCTGTTTCTACTGTGCAATGTGCTATAAACACATTCTTTCTTATACTTGCCAGAAATGCAAATTATTCTTATTCTTTTTTAAGTAATAACACTTCATCCCCATATTTTTTTAATAAAAGTCCTGCACTGTTGACTCTTAGACACCCACATCTGTTCAAAGAGCAGTTTTGTAATCCTTATAAACCAAAAAAAAGAAAAGAAAAAACATTGCAAATGACTTTGAGGTGCTGACACGAGCCTTGTATAACTAGGAACTACAGGAGAGCTCTGCTTTATGCTCCAAGTTTTTAATGGGCTGCCACGTGGTGGAACTAGGATGTTTTCAAAGGCAACCATAAAACAAAAAACTATAAAAAAAAATAAGCTTACAAGGGCAGGATTGCTTTAGTAACATTGTAAAACTAATATAACAAATAAACACTTTCCAAAAGTGTCAATCATTTGTCATTTGGGGGGAGAAAAGCTTCCATGTCAAACTTAATCAAAACAGAGTACGAGAAAGCAGCGCAGTAAGGAGGCGGAGGAGACGGGCATAACACAGGAAAATTCCAACAACTGTCTTTTACTATGTTAATGGATGACGAGACAAAAGCCAGAACAACTACTTGCCAGTTTTATACCCAGAACTCAAAATAAACACTACTGTTGAGCGCAGTCTCTGCCACATCTACATAAAGAGCTCCGAGCTCCATAAACACTCGGCGAACCCTCCTTTTTCCAGTAAAGTGATTCCTCACAGATAAACAAACAGCAATCATTTGCACGAGTGCTACTTCAAACCCGTTGCCATTGTCTGATATCTACCCTAACGGGCAGAGAGTATGACCGCATTCTTTTTGGCAAGAAAACGAGTTACACCACAAGTATATTAAACTATCTGCCAACTCTAATTTCCATCTCATCTTCTCTTTAGACTCTGGATGGCCTCTTCCTGAGTTTCTCTGCCCCATCTGGCTCTTCCTTGATGTGCTTTTTTCTACTGCATCCATCATGCACCTTTGTGCCATTTCACTGGATCGCTACATTGCCATCAAGAAGCCGATTCAACACAGCCAGTACAAATCCAGAGCAAAAGCGCTGGTCAAGATCGCACTGGTGTGGCTCATATCCATTTGTAAGTTTGTCAGTTCAGCCTTCAGCTCTACAGCAGTCTTTAAAGTCAAAACTCAAAACATAAAAGCCCCAACAAGACCTGGTTTACACTCAGAAATGCATGCCAGATGACATAAAACAGCAACATATATATAAACAGCACTGATGTGATTTAAAGTCCACTGTGACTTTTTTACAGTAAGCTGTAAACACAAAGATGCTGCAATCAGTCATGCCTTGTTATTGGAGACACATTTCAGTAAAAGCAGCTCTTTCTCTCAAATGAAAAATTACTGCATTTGCAGAAAAAACAAAACAAATGCAAGCCAGTAAGCTGTTCATCCAATGAGTAATAATAATAATAATAATAATGATGATAATAATAATGGATACTTTATTGATCCCCATGGGGAAATTACTTGTTTTTCTCTGCATTTGACCCATTCACTCAGTGAAGCAGTGGGCAGCCCACTAAGCAGGCGCCCGGGGAGCAGTGTGGTAATAACCAGTGTTTCCCAGTATTTAATGTTGTTGTCGTTTTTCTAGGTATTGCAATTCCAATTCCTATTAGGGGCCTTAAGAACTACCACCTTCCCAACAACATCACCTTCAACAGCAACCACACGTGCCTGCTGAAACCAACCACCTTCTGGGATTTTATCATATTTGGCTCTTTATCAGCATTCTTCATCCCTTTGACTATCATGATGGTCATCTATCTACTCACTGTCCATGTGTTGCGCAAAAAGGTTTATTTGCTCAGGTCAAAGGTCACTCAGCGTTTTAGCTCTCTGGCGGTGTCCACAGTTTTTCAAAGGGAGCAGTCTATGGCTTCAACTGAAGCCGAGCAAATGAATGTGCTGGACAGCAGACTTCCCCGGATGCAGGAAAAGCCAAATGCAGGCACCACGATCGCTCACACGCCATACGAACAGTCCTTTCGCAGGATGTCAACTATGGGCAAGAAGTCCATGCAGACTCTGAGCAACGAGCAGCGTGCATCCAAGGTACTGGGCATAGTCTTCCTCCTGTTTGTAGTCATGTGGTGCCCTTTCTTTATTACAAATATCACCTCAGTGCTATGCAAAGGGTGTGATCCCAACGTCATTGCCCAGCTCATGGAGATCTTTGTTTGGGTGGGTTACGTGTCATCAGGTATTAACCCGCTGGTCTACACCCTATTCAACAAAACTTTCAGGCAGGCGTTCACACGTTACATCACCTGTAATTACAGGAGCTGTGCCAGTAACCTGTCAGGAGGACATCTGAGGCCATCAACTGCAGAGTGGACTCTAACAAGGATTTCAATCAAATCTTCCATGGCAGAGAACTCTAAGCTATTCATGAAACGGGGAATGAAGAACGGCATTGGAGCTGTGGCCTACCAAAGTCCGCTGAGGTGTCGGCAACCACCTGTACAGTCATCTAGTGGTGTTGTGCTAGACACAATACTTCTGACTGAAAATGAAGATGATAAGCAGGAGGAACATGTTAGCTGTGTATAGACTATGGACACGCAAAGCAAATGAATATAAATCGGGGGTGGGGTGGGGGTGGGGGGGGTACTTAAAGTGGATAAAATTTATGTTGCAAATTTGAGTTCTTTCAAGACAAAGGCTTGTCACGAACAGATGTTTCTGTCAATTGGATACATTTAATGGCAAGACAACAAACCCCAAACTGTTCATAGTCTTTTGTAGCGCACACCTAGAGGGCAAAACACCAAAATGCTGGCTAACTCAGAGCATCAGAGCACCAGAGAACTCGTTTTTAATATGTTACAAGCTGCAAATGTCCAGATCAACTTTCAAAAACACTGATATTTAAAATACTGCATGTTTTTCCATACTTGTAAAGTGTACATTGCACAAGCTGCAGTCCATTTGGCAATATTTGCAATATGTAACAATATCCCCCCAGTGCACTTACACTGCCACCAGCACATACACAAAAAACCCCAAAACAAAAACAACAGTAGGTGCAGGTCTATCTATTTTTGATTGAGATGGGTCACTAATGCCACGTTTGGAAGGTGAAACTCATCTGTTAAGCTTATAATAATGTAATATAATTTAGCCTTTGGTGGGATTTGGCTGCTGTTTTTGTACGGCAGCCTCAGGAGAGGTGTGTTAGCATTTAGTGCCATTATCTTTACTTGCCCAGCAGCTGTAAACAACTGAGCGGCTTGTGAACATTAGCTGGCATTTTGGTTTAATAACTCTGGTGAAAGTAAAGCACATGAAGTCTAAGGAAGGCTTGTTTTGCCCTCCAGGGTTCAAGGTGGTGACCTCACTTAGAAACTAGTAAGTGATCGCTAATGTTTGTTTACATCAGTTACACAAGGATCTATTTTCAACTATGAACACTACATCCACAAAGTTCAGGACATCATGATGACCTGGAAACTCCCTGAATGCAGCATACAGTACATTTCCTATTCTGATGCTTTCAACTTTTGCTGTCTAAATATGCTGTAAACCATCTACATGCTTATATTTTGTCAAGACAACACAGACAGACATAAACGCCTTGCACTCTTGAAACGATACTTAATGTATTTGCTGGACCTTTGAAAAGCACTCTTGTACGTGTATCGCAGCCTGCTGTTTTGACATGTTAAAAAGATGTCCACTTAAAAAGATTGTACATAGAAAATGTTCACTTTAAATGGAAATCTACATGTGTTTAATAAAATATTTCTTGTGTTCCTGATAAAAAGGCCAAATTCTAACCATCTGTGTGTTATGCTGTTGATCTCCACATTCATATGTTACTGTAATGTGATCGGAAAAAATGGCCTCTATCATAAATAAGGGCTGGGCAAAACAAAACACAGCATAACAGCCACAGTAAGACAAACAAAACAAAACAAAACAAAACAAAACAAAACAAAACAAAACAAAAAAGGCTATTCACTTTTCCCCAAATCATAAACACCAAAGCAGATAACAGAGTTTGGCAATAAAAACCACTGCTATTTACACTGAAAAAGAAAAATACGAATACTGTAACGACAGCATATTTAAGGAGCAATTCCTGATTTCTCTGTTTAAAAATATCCAGGAAAACATTCAACTAAACTAAAATCCTAATTAGTTATATTCCTGTATAGACTGTGTCACTGTTAAACAAAAGACAAACAAACAAACAAACTGGAACTCTGCTGATTTAGTATGAAAAAGCTGAAACGTAAGGCATTCAAACCTGGCTCTTCTTGTGAGGCGGAGTGCATGCAGTTATTCTTAAGGCATTAGGGTGAGAAATCAGAGAAGAGCAGGCAAACTAAATAGCTCTGGTTCACAAGTCTTTCTAAACACAGAGAAAATTTACACAAGGTTTATGTAGCGGCCGATTGATCACAGGATATCACATGGCCTTTTTGGGCTTAAAAATGCACACCCTGATGTTTGTGAAGTGGCCAGGCAGTCTGTTTAGCACGAGCCCTGCTCTATGGTGGGTAAACACTGATGTTAGTGGGATAAATGCCTGTAAATAACTGGAGAAGACAGTTAAAGTGATAAGGACCTCAGTGGTGTCATTGTCTGACAGAGGAACATCATTCATGAAGACCAGTAACTACTACTAAACTAAATTTTGACAACTCATTACACAAAATATAAAAAACACAAGGTCAGCCAGGAAAACTGAAGCAAAAAAGAAAGAAAACCAAACTGTTTCTGTGTCAGTAGTGACGTAGTGAATAACAAGAACCTGACTGGTTAAAGCCAACTAAGCTCCAGGACATCTGCATGGAAATGACATTCACTGGTTTCATTCATTTGCCAGCTGCTACATTAACACTTTTGTGTTAGCCAATCAACCAACAACACTTCACTTCACAAGTTAAAATCCCAAACAAGCTAACTGTAGTAAAGCTAAATAAAACTCCCACAAGTAACCAAGAGATCAGCTGCTTGTAATGATGGAAAAACTGGTAAACTCCCTGTTCTCCTTCTAGTTTGTGGGGGACACCAGAGTATCCACAGGTATCGGCTTTATAAAGTTACTGTGGCAGCTAATGCTATTAACCTTAATACGGATGGCTATAGTTGTGCCATTTTCTTTTGCCGTAAGCATTCTGCAAGTCTTTTAAGGTAATGATTTTTATTTATTAATTTACATATAACAAGCATCTAAAATCACACTGAGTTTCTACTATAATGCACGTGCCTCTTTGTGGAGGTTGTTGTTCGTGTGCCAGCTGCGTTTAAGATAGACAGCCAGTTAGCGGCAGATGTGACACACACTGAAATCAACAACCATAAACCATCTAGCTTTAATTCTACCTCCCCTCAGCAAACAAAGATAACTGTGCAACTGTTTAAAATAAACGGACGGACAGCAAACTGAGCACTGGTTGGTTGTCATTATATAACTTTTTTTAAAACTCTTCAAAAGATTAACATAAAGAAGCATCATTTGTAATAACAATGATATTTAGAAAACCCTTCAGAATACCTTCCTTTTACCAGATGCATGATTTGATCTGCTCAAATAAGTATGTCTTTGTTCAAAGGTTGTGTTTTGCATAAAGCTGGAATTTTGGCACAAGTATTGAGGTTTTAAAGAGAAAGGCCTTTGGTGCATGCGGAAAAAACCAAAACAGAGCGTTCATAGTTTAAAGAATGGGGTCTGGCTTACCTGAACAAGATGAAGCCAATGGACTCGACAGCAGCCCGTCTGACATCATCATTCACATCACTCACCTTAATAGACAAAAGAAAGGCAGTCAATTAAACGGGACTTGATTTAATCTTAAAAATGCACATCCCCTGCTACTCAGAGTAAAAGAAATATGCTCTACTATTAAGCTGTCTAATAAATTTAGTTAGCACCAAGTGCCACCTGCAGGACAAAAGTGGTTCACACCTCTGCAGTGATTTCTGTTAGCAAAGAGTTTTGCAAGATCATCCCTGAAAGAATACAGTGCTTTAAATAACTGGCACTAGTTTAATAACAGCAGCTACTAAAGCTTTGAAAAAAAAGACAGATTAAGGGAGAAAATAAACAATCATACTTTTGACAATATTATGACTAGCAGCTATTATGAGGCCGGCCATTAGTGGATCTTCCATCCGCTTCAGTGCCATCATTATAAACCTGCACTCCCTTCAGTGACAGTGTTGTAAAGAAGGAAAAAAGGAAGCACTCACAGCGACATGTAGCAGGCGTCGGATGGCCTTGTTGTTCCCAGAGCCACAGTATGCCATTGCCACAGTGTACATACCAGAGCGCCGCAGGATGGGGTCCTACCGTAGACAGTGAAAGAAAGCAGAGCTTTAAGACTGTGTCTGGATACACAACTAAGATCAACATAATTTGAGTAATTTCCCACATCTAGATCTTGGCACAAAGTACAGAGGAAGAGTCTCACATGTGATGGGAAATACACACAACCTGAGGTTCAGTAAGTGCAGACGGGATTTGATACATCAAATATCGGCACAGTGAATTGTGAGCTTTACGGAGAGTAGTGACCTTTATGAAGCAGACTGAGATTCTTTCCATTAAAGAATCAAACTTCTATTATTTTCTAGATATTGGTAAGTTGACCCTATGGCAAAGACAATTGTCACTTTTTTTGACAGAAGTTTCAACCTGATGGTGTACATAATTTGATTTTTGAGTGTTTTTTAGTCATACCTTGTCTCTACAGAGGCTTTCAATGAGGGCATCAGCCTCCTCCATACGTCCATACATGACCATGGCAATTCCTACTGCCAGGCCACGCAAGATCTTCTCGTGCTGCGTCTCCTGAGCGTAGCCCACCATGTCCTCGATCGCCTGAGCCGACTTGGAGCCCAGCATGACGAGACCAAGAGCCAACCCTGCAGCTTCACCTGGGAGGTCGCAGAAGCAGAAAAAATAAACAATAAACATGTGGAAGAGCATTCAGCTCTAACTTTATTGCACACACACAGCTAGGCCTCTGAGAAAGGGGGTGACAAAGCGGGGGAAATTCCACAGGTGTGAAGCCTTTTGTTCTGTGTTTTTGAGGATGGGGGAAGAGACAAGGGGCAATCACGGTAAGAAGAGATAAGGTTATAAAAAATCTCCCACATTCTGGAGAGGGCTAACAGCTGTGAAAGTACTTTTGTCTGACTGTATTTAAACCAGGGCTGTGCTGTTCATTGGTAGAGAGACTGCTGTCAGTGCCCCATGATGGCGGCTCTCTCCAAGCATGCTTGTGTTTATTATTAAAAGTTGTTGGCCTACTGCTCACTGTGTCTGTAGGCTTTGTTAATTAAAATTCCATAACACATCACACAGGATTAAAAACAAACAAAAAACCCTGCTTTTTTTTGGTCCACATACAATTAAAAAACATAACAAAACACATATTTAAAACGTCTGAAAGTTCTACTCTAATAAGGGACGTAGCAAAGATGCTCAAAACAAACAAAAATAAAAAACCAAATCCTTCTTTGTCATATTTGTAGAAACATTATTATTAGTAAGCAGAACAGTAAAAAGCAAACTGGGGCTTTAAAATTCAAAAAGCCCCTTCACTGACAGGGCCTACGTACCAGTGACAGCATCATCCTGGTAGAGGTTCGACTTGAGCAGATCGTAGACATCCTGCCTAGCCGTGCCCAATGCAGCCAAGCCCAGGCCAAGAGCACCGCCATGACGGACAATCTGTGACCGTGGAACAGAAAGCACACCATCAGTGAGAGCATAAAACTGACACAGAGACTTAAACTAGCTCCTGCTCTCTAAAAAGCTTTAGCTGGGGCACAAGTGTAACATTTATCTGACAACCAAGCATGAAACCAAACCTAAAAACTCACATCATTGCTGGCGTTCTTGAGTTGACTGAGCAGGTAGTCAATGATGTCCCCGCCATGGTTGGCATGAATGAGGCCCAGGGCATACAGCCCGCCTCCTTCCTGGTAGGCAGACCCAGGGGAGGTATCTTTGGGCAAGTAGGTGGCCATTAACTGGAGCGCCTCTTTTTCATGACCCTGAAAGAAAGCATTTTCAACATTTTGAACATTAGAAACATTTTAATCTTTGTCTAAAACATTCTGAGCAGGCAGTAAGATTAGAAAAGCATAACATTAGAACAAAATCCTTTCTGGTTTTCTTAGTATTATCATCATTGTGCCAGAACTCTACCTTGTGGATGACACCCAGACTTGCTGTCGCTGTGAATTTTGCCCAGTTTGTTGCTCTTGCCAGCCATTCTAAGTTTTCTCTACAAGAACAAAAAACACTGGGGTTATAGTCACTCGAAAACAACACGTTTATCAATATCCCTCTGTAATCTTTTCAGTGTTTTATCATCCTCCCAGCACAGTTACCTGAGGAACTGGTCACTTGTGGTTCCTGTGTGCATGAAGGAGTTGGCTATAACCGTAGCTGTGTGGCACACTGAATTTCGAACCGCGTCCTGGAGTAAAAGGAGGCACAAAAATCAGGGAGTTTCAGGAAGTGGTCGCTACGGCACATTAAGTGACCTCAAGCAAAATGCAGTTCATCTGGTTGTAAACAATCTTCTTCAAAACTGCACATTACACTGGCAGCGAACGTTACCTTTGTGTTTTTCAGAATCATTAGATCTGTATTGTTATTTCGAATTAAGAATTGTAGGTGAAGCTCAATGGCCATCTCCCCACTCAGGATCTTGATCATCTTTGCATTCTGGTCTTTGGACTCATCTTTCTGTAAAAAGACAGAAGGACAATGTGACAGGATATATTAAAGGCAGCAAATC